TATATATATATATCGAGAGAGAAGGATAGTTAAATTTGAAAAGAAAATGGACTCTTTCATCTTTACTCTCTTCTTTCAGTCACTTGTATACATTTTCTACCTCCGTCTCTCCATCTCACCTCTCTCTCGTCCACTTATTTTGCATAGATGCTTTATCCTTTGATTCATTAGAAAATGCATCACAATCAAATAAAGTTCGTGTTTCACTTTTTCAGCCAGAATTTTTCTAGTTTTGAAATCTCAAAAGTAAGATACACAAGGTGCACGTGGTTGAATTCTTATTCTTCATAATATCTATGTAAAACCTACATAGAATGCTTATCTACCTTTGAGTCGATTTAAATAAATGTATATCCTTTCAGGATATGGCCTTGGGGCCACTCTTAAGTAAATCCTTTCGGATAGAGTTTCTGAGAAATTCGTTGAGCTGTCTGTAAATGCGAACAATTGATTGAAATCTACGAAATGATTTACTATATTATGTTATGATTCTTGTTTATATTATGTTTGAACAAGAATTGCACCTAGCTTGTTGAGTGCTTTCCAAAATACGCATGATCAAAACTTTTCAGGTTAGTTTGGGTTGATTATATGCGTGATTTGACCTATCAAAAAAAAAATTATATGCGTGATTAAGGGGTGAAGCTGGTTTACCTGGGGACTTTTAAGTAACATTTGAAATAAAGATACTGCTAGACCTTTTTATTTTTCTATTTAATGTTTTTAAGTATTATTTTAGAGTTAGTTGAAGAATATCATTTTTTGGATTAATTTCAATAACTTGTAGTCAGTTTTTTTTGTAAAAAGGAACCAATTTATCATTTGCTCTTACGTGTCAATCTATAAACCTTGTATTATTTTGTTGTTTTAGTTGTGGTGTATGGGCAAATTGTGTAATTGACCTATTCTTGACTCATTAAAATGTCTATCATGTTAAATTGATTACGTATTATGAAACGATTTCTTTTTTTCTTTCTCATGCTATGAGTTGAGGAAATCAATTTAGTACCTCTCCTGTTTCTTTGAAAATTGCGGCGTTACAATAATGTTCAACTTTGGATCTTGTTTACAAGAATCTCAGTTCTCTAAATTTCCAATCTAGCATTTATACATCAAATTTAGTCATGCTTAGAATGAACATAATGATTAGTGAGGTTAGGATTTCTTGTATCTTGCGGCAACTTGAACTTAATTTCAGCAATAGCAAAAGTGCACCAAAATATTTGAATCACGTTTCTTACTCATCTCAAGTTAGGGTCATGGATCTGGGTAATAATAGACGTAGTCTGGTTAAAGTCTTTGCCAGTACTTGGATTGCAAGTTTATTTGGTGCAGTTCTCAAGTCAAGCCTCTTTGATCTCCATATGAGGCCATGTGAAAGTTGCCTGGTGTTATAATGGGTTTGTTTCTCTTCTATGGTACAATCCATTGTAAATAATAAAACCTCTCTCAACATTTTTTTGTATCAGATGACCAGCTTATAAAGACGAACGAAATGAATATATTGATTAGGTCTCTTATGCTTAAGAATCAGAATTCTTGTTCAAAAGATGGGAAAGGTATTGCTGAGAATCAGGGTCTCAGGAAAAGGTATTAAATACATCTTGTTGTGGGATAATGTTGCTCTCTTTTTAAAATTTTCCCACTTCATCTTTCGTCCTACTGTAACTCTTCAGGACTGCTGAGAGACCTTTGGATGGCAACGCATCTAAGAGGGCCATGTTGAGCACTGAACTTCAAGGTGAGCTGTTGATTTCATACTGTTTTTGTTTTAATACATGGAACCGGGGTTGAAGTGGTAGAACTTTAAGAAATATCATTCTCCACCACTGAGTGTTACATGATTTCACCTGTTCTGTTATCCTCTTGCAAGTTTGAAGAGAATGGGAATGATTGATGGATCTGATCTCCTTTTGATGGAAATTCTCTCTAAAGTTGTTGATGTCTTCATATGAAATAGTCTTATCTTCCCTGTCTAGGTACTATTAGGGGTGTTGGCAAATTCTTGTGTGGAGCTTTAGATTGCTCAATCTCTATTTGAATCATAATGGAGCACCTGAAAATGTACAAACTCAGGATTATGTATTCTTCCAATTAAGCTTTTTTGGGCTGAAATTGGAGTTGATCACAAGAAGGATTGATTAACAAGCTGATCTTAAGTTTAGCTGAAGCTAATGAGCTTAGCTTGTTTCGACTCCTGAGTTATTTTTTAGAGTATCCAAACTGAACCCAATGCTTATCTATATTAAAATGCCTAGGTATTATGGTCTGTTGATAAGGTTTTTGAGTACACCATGTGCATTTATCTGTGTTATTGCCATCATCATCTCTGGGGAAGAGACTTGTACATTCCAGTTGGAGTAATGAGAAATGATGAATGTTCTTTTAAATCTTTTGAGCATGGACTTTTATTAGTTGCGTAATTAAAAAAAATTCTTTATGCCTAATATATCTATCCGTATATATTGTTTTGTTGCTTAAAGTTGCGCTCGTGGCATCGTGTAATAATAAGAACTTTAAAGAAATTAATCTATGAAAATGCAGTGGGATCACAAACTCGTGAGCCTGATAGTCTACGTTTTTTGACCGTAGAGAGACTACGTGCTCTTCTGAGGGAGAAGGGTCTTCCCGTGAGGGGGAAAAAGGCAAGTACCATTTTATTTCTCTTGTAGCCATACTAGTTCGTAATTAGGTTTAATGTTGCCATACCTCCGATCACGGTATTATCTTTTAAGTTGTTTTTTTCCAGGTTAATTAACAACCTCTAGAATTTTTATTAGCATGCCTAGGTTGATTCTAATGTATATCCATTCAGTTTTTGGGGGCATTAGTGTTTGCATTTCCATGGACAGGATGAGTTGATTACCCGTTTGAGAGCTGTGAATGGCTAGGATGCAACCAAAGCAATCGAAGTGGCTGATTGCTATTCAATTCGGTTCTACATTCTGTTTCAGAAGTGTAGGTTTCGAATAGTGATAATACACACCTTTATATAATCTTAAAACACTTCATTTTGTCTGTTTACGAATTGAACATAGTACTTTCATTAACAATGGAGTTTGCACTTCGTATGGTATTGTTCGACTTTGTTAAGAATAATCTCTTAATTATTTGAATATGGGCATGTTTAATAGGGCTTTTGATTTTGCTTCTGTTTCTTGTAAAAGAATTTCATGAGGAAGTTACTTTAATTGGTGTTTGAAAATTAATTTCTAAAAAAGTGTTTTTTGAAAGATTTTTAGAGGGAGCTATATTGGGTTAGATTTGTCTAACTAGAAGAAATATTTTTTATTAAATTAAAGAACGACTTCAAAAGCAGCTTTTGAAATAAGAACTCCTTTTGACTTTTCAAAAGTCATGTCAAACAGCTTCATAGCAAGGTTGTTAAATTGAGTCGGTCACATGAGGTTTTGTGCATTGAATCTTTTGATAGAGTCAATGATACTTAATTCATGACAAAAACATTAACTGAATCGAATTTACTTAGAATAAAGCTTAATTAGTTTCTACATCGAGCCATAGATTTGAGTAAATTGTTTGAACAGTCACTGAACTTTAACATGGTCACGACTTACTCACTGAACTTCAAATTGCCTCAAATGGTCACTGAACTTTCATTAATTGCACCACATCCAACACTCAGAGGACAGTGGGGTGGGCAATTGGAATCGAGTTCAGTGACCATTTAGAAGCAATTTGAAATTCAGTGAGTAAGTCGTGACCATGTTAAAGTTCAGTGACTGTTCAAACAATTTACTCCATAGATTTGTGTGAAGTTCAATAAATCATAGCATACCAAAAATCAAATTTAGTTGAGAGTTGCATACAAATTTTAACCCAGTAGGGAAATGTGAAAAGTTGATACTTTGAAGATATTGTAATAGTTAAATTTGTGTATAGATTGTTCAAGGACAGGAAAGGGGCGAAATTAAGTTGCATCTTATTTTTTTCAAAAGAAAAGTAAGTTTGGTTTTTAAAAAAAATGCAAAATCAAGTTCTACAAAATAAGTATATTCAAATTACTCTTAACGCAAATATTCTCATACTTCAAGATTTCACGATTTCTGGCTAATAAGTTGAACAAAATCCATCTGAACTTGTATCCACCAGCCACACATCAGGATTTTGCCAGAAAAATTCTAATTCTACTCTGAATTATTGTTTAATTGGGTGTTAGCACTTTCTTTCCATCCAAAAGAAACATAGCATTCATGGGGTTGAGTTTCAACTAAAAAACTTACAAAGAAATGAACGTTTCGCCAAGACAAAGCAGATGAGCCAGCTAACTCCTCGTAGTTGATACTGGAAAATTACAAAGTGAAGTAAAATTCTATTGCATGGAAAAGTTCTGCAAAATTTAAAAGAGTGGCTAATAATCATCTGAGATGGACACCCTTTCCTGATGTTGAATCCCATACCAAGCTTCTCGCCCCAAGCAAAAGCCTATACTGCCAGAAAGAAAAAAAAAACTGTTAGTCCACGTGATAATATCCACAACTCAGTGCCCTTAAAATTCTGTAATTAGCATCAAAACAAGAACTCCATTTCAAGATGGAGTAATCTGTAAGTACAAAAGAATAGCTGCTTTGGCTTTTAGATGTACACAAGACAATTTAATTTACTTTTTGGGTACAAAAACCATATTAATTTCATTCTAAGATTTTCCTTTTCCAAGGTTGAGTTCCATTCTTTTAGATTGGAACCTCAACTTCGTCCAAGAAAGGGAAACCCTTTGTCACTGATTTTTAGAATGGCTCCAATGGCTCATTTATGTTAAGTCTGGTTGCTTGAGCATTGTACCTTTTATATGGTATGGTATTATCAGATCCGAACATATGGATAATTAAACATTGATTCTGAGTTTTACAGGAACATATCTTTTATGCCTTGAGATACTACACCTCAAGCCTAATTTATCAGATACTGACATTCCAGTTAGCTAACTGGCTTCTTTTTGCTTCCATGAGCAAAATTAGCAAAGCAAAGTTCATTTTCTCCAAATTGAAGTGTATATTAATATAAATCCGGAGAATAAAGCAACTATTCCCATTAAGCAGTATTTTGATTAATTATCAACAACTAAATTTCTTTCTTAATTTGATCTCACTCTTACCGCATTATGGCAGTCAAATCACTGTTTATTAGCCAGTAAAAAAGCAAGGATTTAAATGAAATTCAGAGGCTAACTAAATTAAAGCCTATCTTGGCTCATAGTTTCTAGGTGTTTATACACCTTGATCAAATTGCATTTTGAGTCAAACCAATTTTATACACATTTTTTTTTATAACCGTGGATGTACGAGCGAGCTTGCGCGCACCTCGACTTAATTCCACGGCCCTGAAGTTTATGGCCGGATACTCACCTCAGTGGCCCGAGGGGATTCGAACTGGTGACCATGGGGGAGCAAACCCAATGCCTAACCAATTGAGCAACCCCTCAAGGTTAATTTTATACACATATTTCGTAACTCACAAATACTAATCACTTCAATGCCACTCATTTACCCCTCTTTGTTTAAAAACACCTTTCCAGACATACACAAAAATCTAGCCTTCCTTAAATAAATTGCCTAAATCAAAGAGAAAGTGGATCCAAGTAGAAGAAATTTGGGCAAAGAGAAAATCAATTATTCATATATTCAAGGGTTAGAATGAATAAGCCATTTTATATAGAAAAATAATCTAATATTAAAAGAACTAATCTGAAACAAACATAATTTGAATTGAACTCTTAAAATTTTAGGATAAGTTTATGATTCTCTATCTCCATCAAGAAATTACAGGACAAGGATGGTACCTAAAAAATTAAGTAGCACCAACAATAATGTTATTGATGGGAATGAAAATCAACTTCACAAAGAATCCGACAAACCCCATAACCACGAACCCAATCGCTGTTCGAGTCGCCACCTTCGTGAATTCTACACATACATAAAAAGGCATAAATCATATTACAGTCGCAAAATTTAACCTTCGATAACAGAACTTTCGCTTTGTAAAATGAGAATACAGGAATTGTACCTTTACGATCAGGCTTGTGGCAGCGCTTGACGAGACGAATACTGTCCTTGGCGAAATCTCTGAGTGGATCGAAAACTGAATCCAAAGCATCCATCTCTATTCTCTTTTACAGATCTCAAGTTTTAGGATTTTGACAAAAATTAGACAGGGCGTTGGAGTTAGAGACTTAAAGAGGGATAAGGTATCTTAAATACCGTAAATAGCCACGAGGAACTACTGATTTTTACCGTGATGCCATCCTAGTTTTACGGACACCAAACCAGTATTATTAAAATATTTTCAATATAAAAATAAATAAATAAATTGAGTTTTTAATTTAAGGTAATTATAATTGTCCTTTAGAAACTCGATATATACAAAAATAAAGGTTTGCGATGGCTGTCAAACATATTGTCCTGAACTTTTTTTATCGTATTCTTCTCATAATTCCGTTAATTAGCACATATGTTCATCATGATGATTTTCGTCTAAAAAGTTAGATAAAGATGTAAAAATATTTATTTGTCCATCATATTTTTATGTACCAAAAAAGTTCTAATAGCATATCCGAACAAAAGCCATCACAGGGGATGAAATGTGTTATTTATCCCTCGTTTGATTAAGTCAAAAATTAATTTATTATAAATTTTGATAGCAATTAATAAAATTTGTTCCCATTGAACATGTAATTGAAAGTAGGTTTGAAAATGAGTGATTGAAAAGTTGTGTGACCTATAAAATATGTGGTTAAAATTAATTGTTGACTTTAACTTAGATTAAAATCTAGATTTTAATCAGTACCAAATATGGGCTTAATGTTTGAAGGTCATTTTGTAATTAGAAAGGGTCTTGACTCCTATCGAGGATCTAATTCTCATTCTCCTATAGAGGTTCTCAACTACAATTTGGAAAATAAAAAAAAAACTATATCAAAACATTTGATATGCACAATATGAACAGCAAAGAACGCAAAGAGTCATGCTATGTGTACATAGGTGTACACATAGGGGATGACATAATGTGAGTGAGGTGGGCCCCGCGTTAATCAATCTATGTACACATAGATTAATCATAATTCATAATTGTCAAAACTATATCGACCATGGCATTTCGATCCACCAAAGGAAAACTCCTAAAATTGAAACATCAAATTCAATACACAATGGGTTTTCACTTCCGCTGTTGATTACTATGTCACACCTAAGTTAACCATCAACACAACATATACCCAACCTCATTGCTAATACGAAACTCAAGCCAAGCCTCCGCTCATTGCAGTGCGGATTATCTGAAATAAAGCTGGCGAAAGAGAAAAGTGAATAAAAATAAGTAAGCAATCGGGTAAACTTAGTGCCCGTTTGACAAGACTTTCGAAAATAAAAATACAGTATTATAGTTGCTACTCAATGACATAAAATAAAAATACAGTATTATAGTTGCTACTCAATGACATAAATATTAGAAGTTGGGCAAACTTAGTGCCCGTTTGACAAGACTTTTGAAAATTTAAAAGCTGCTTTTGAGACTAAAAAGCTGTTTTTTAACTTGTTTGGACAGTTTTTTGCCTGATGAGAAAAACGTAAAGAAAAAGCTAGCTGTGAAGCTCTTCTACAAAAAGCAGAAGTAAAAACAGAAGTCCCGTCAAACGAGTCCTTAGTATCACGTGAGACAAGCGTAAAAACCTGTAAAAATGGCATAAAGGACTAGTTAAGTGGATTACCTATTAACATCAACAAACTGAGTTCCAAGTTTAAACCATGTTTATAATTTGTTTATAATTGATCAAATCACTTTTCATCACACATTTTGTGGAACCCAATAGTATTGCCCACTACTCATTCTATCTATTCATAATTTAAACTATCTATACTTACATTTCCAAACCCAACTT